CCTACTTTCTGAGTATGCATGGACTGCTCGATATCCATCTATTTTCAATTTCCCTTCTTCCAAATCTGTAGTAATATGTGTTTCAGACAAACAAATAATCCCAGGTTTCCATTGATGTACCAGCCAAACTAATTGTGCTTTATGTGCTAATAGGCTTTCTATATTTAAGTATATAATGTTTTGCTGCTTTAATTGCTATTTGTTCTTTACTTTGCCAAATGTTTCAGGATAGTTAACCCCCGTTTGACATTCACTAGATATTCTCTTGTATGTTTCACAATTTCTGTTGTATGCACAATGATTATTAATTGATACCTGGGATCTTTAATATCTTCTTTGCATGGTTACAGTTAACACAAATATCATTACTGCTTGTACATTCCCCCTGTTTATGTTCTTTACTGCATTTCAGACATCTGTTGCACTTTTACAATCTTTAGCGATGTGTCCGAATCTTCAACATTTAAAACATTGAATTATGTTAACGTGAACAAAATATTTACATTGATTCACAAAAAAGATTTTTGTCATTGTTTTTTAAATCACCCGTATTTCGTCGAATTTTTTATATACTAAAACTTTTCCCTGATTCTGTGAAAGGCTAAGACTGTCGACAAGATCATACGTTTAATCGATAAAATCAACTTTGAAGTAACTTTTGTTCCCAAAGCAAAATATCTTTAGAGCTCGTTACTTTATAAGTATTCATCTTAGCAGATGTTCACGCTGTAAACACTTAAATACTAAGTTCCTAGTAATATGGTTCGTACAACCGCATTATTACTATGTAAGTGTGTTAGCAACAATCGCGAACCTGCTGCAAAACCAGTTCAATGGTGTAATATGTAGGTACGGCGCTACCTCATAACGGCAATAATTAACGTTTTCCTAATGATTCAATTACGATCTTTGCTTCTTTTCATCGTGTCGGTTAATAGATACACCTTTTTCTGATAAATAAGAGCCCGTCTATGCACGACAACGTCGTACGACAAAATAGTGCGATTTTGATGCTGCTTGGTGTCATGAGACAATGTATTTGTTTTGCTCGGTGGTGGTTGGAGAACATATCCGGATTATCAACCATGAGTACTCAGATTTCCTATTTTACATTTACAAACAATATTCATCAGGTGTGCCGTTGGCTGTAGCTAATCCAAACAATAACTTTATATAGAGGGGCGTTCAAAACAGCGGATGGTCATGCTTATATAGGCGGAAAATAAACATGTTTATTTTAACCAAGAACAACCAGTTTTACAATTATTGGCAGTGCAGCTGATCAAGTCGCACAACATGCTAAAGAACACGCGGCAAGAAGTGTCGTAATACTGTTTTTTCAAAACGTGCGACGCTGTCCTGCATAAATGGGCTCTATCAGAACACACAAGTTAAGTATTCTATACCTAGAATTCTAAACAATGTTTTCTTCAATCTGCGGTATAATGGCATTATAGACTACGTCCGCGTGTTTTGTAATATAAAATTATGAACGGGGATCTCAAAGAAAACAAGCCTGAACGGATCCTATAAATAGCAAATAAAACCACCCTATATCCAGACATCTCAGTAACATTAGAAGTGTTACACCAAGAAAAACTAATTTTTTCAACTTATTTTTTTGGTAACATAATGACTATATTTAAAGTATGCTGTGGCAACAATGACACCGTTTTATCTTCATTGTCCAACATTTCGGACTCCTTTACGCATCCGTGATGAAATGAATTTGAGAGATAGTTCATCATACTGTCATTGCCATTTCACTTGTACTTTGAATCAGTACATTGAAAAAATGGCATCAAGTAGATTGAAACAACTTTCAGCACAAATTTCTATATATTGCAATGGCATCAGCCGTCGACTTTGTCAGAACTATTAGTGCATTTGAAAGTCCCTTGCAATAATATGCACGTCCGTACACGATACATTTTTCAACAATGTTTGATAACTGATAAATAATAGCTCTTGATACGGTTTCGTATACTAAGTATATAATATTACCCCTCGAAATCAAGTTACCTCCTTAAATTACGCTCCAAGTATAATAAAGATAGTATATACAGGGTGTCCGCAAAGTTTGGGTTTTCCTTTACACGGCGTGTAGATCTTGAAAACATAAGCAATGTCTTAAGTGAACCGAGATAAAGGGCTCTGCAACATCAAAAATATCTGAATACCATCCTGTAGCCGCGACATCCCCTAGTGGTACTAGGACACTAGCTCAACCCGACGACAGAACTGGGTCGGGGTCAGTGTGCACTAGAGACGTGGCTAGAAAAGTGCAAGTATCAAAAACTAAAGTGTGGCAAACGCTGCGTGAAGAGGGGCTGTATCCGTTTCACGTCCAACGTGTACAAGCCCTTCAACCTGACGATTTTCCAGCAAGAGTGCGGTTTTGTGAGTGGTTGTTGCATCAACATGACAATCATCCGGACTTTTTGAAGTGCATATTGGTGACAGACGAATCTACGTTCACGCGTAAGGGGGTGAATAACTTTCGCAACACTGATGTTTAGTCAGTAGAAAATACGCACGCTGTCCGTCGGGCACATTTGCAACAAACATTTTCGGTGAATGTTTGGGCTGGCATGGTGAACGGTATGCTCATTGGACCATTTATTCTCCCAAATCGATTGGACGGGTTGCAATACCTAGACTTTTTACGCAACATTTTGCCTTCCTTGTTTGCCTGTGTCTGCTCGGTAGCGCATCAGCTGATTTCGTTTTCTGTTGGAGCGGTATGATTTCGGGCAGAGACTTAGCCCTTCTCGTAAACTGGAGAGTGAGTACTTTTTCCTTTTTTTTTTTACTTGGTCGCCCTCGTTTCACTACACATTACCTTTGTTATTTCAAGGGTAGTTGTTTCTGAAAAGGAAAACCCCAATTTTGCGGACACCCTGTATATATATATATATATATATATAAAAATGCAATATTCATAACCTCGTGGCGCACGGCAAGAGCGACCGATAGATAGATTAAAAAAAAACTACAAAGCCTTTTCGTCCTTGGCATAGTAGTAGCCTTGTGTGGAAACTTCATCAAAATCCCATCGGTACTTTTCAATTTATGGCGGGTCAAGGATTATCGGACAGACAGATCGACAGATAGATTGACGGAAAGGAGTGACAACCAGAAGACATCTCATTTTACGTCACAAGCAGGCGTGGGAGGTAAAAAAATAAACAAAAACGAATGCAGTACCTGAAATGAATGAAGTTTTAGTTTTAGTATGCCTGGTATCACTTGAACTGCTAAGACGAATCTATAGTTATCTCATACGCCAAAATCATTAAGTCGTGAAATAGAATTTCTTGGATACATAGATACAGATTCACACTCTGATAGCACAGCGCTCCATCTGAGGCAGACGGATAAGACCGCCATAGCCGCAACGTTAGTAAACATTCAATCCACGATAAGCATGCGGTTCATTTGACTGTCATCAAAACATGGACATTTGTTGCTTTTTCTTTCAGCTATTTCCACTGGTAAGGGGACTTCATTTGCCTTCTGTACCATCCTCTATGGCTTGTTTTTACAGACAGCAAAAATAATTCAGATATTTATCGCTCTTATATTATGCATTGGGGTTACCAGTTGCCCACCTATTGAAATCACCGAGCTGTACGCAGCGCATAATCGCTATTACCGATAACCGTGGGGTACAGACGAATTAATTTAAGACGAACTACTATTATAAACGAATTAAATTAAATTCCGTTTGATGAAAAGACGGCTAGCCAACACACGATAGGGTCTGATGGATTCGCAACCTGCAGTAATTGTATCCTCCGTCCAGACAGAAAGACTGCAATTATCTGTTCTATTGTTCCGTACCATCTTCAGACGTCGCGCCGGCGGTAAAAATAGATACAAAGAGATTGTTAGTTTTAGAAAGATGTGATACAGGGAGCTTCTTAAGCATAGGACAGTATTTCAAGGAGTAATTTTTCGACTCTACCTATCTACCAATTCGAATAGATAAGGAGACAAGCCTATGTTTACATTGAATTGTTTGTCGCCAAAATTGCGACTCATTTGTCTAGTAATGCCTACCAAAGTGATAGCGTTGTATGAACATAATAACAACAATACTTACCGGTGGAAATGTCTAGCTTCATTAGACATATGCCGTTCTTTGCAAACTATGTAAGAGATTCAATTACGCCATCCTGTATTTCATTTCAAAATCACATCCCAAATAAATTTAAAAAGAGATAAAAGCTATTGTGATAAAATCGCTTTTGTTGTTTATCTCAAATATTGCTTCATTTTCTGAGCAATCAAAGCGCGTAACTTTACCTCCATACCGCTCCCCGTTTTCGAGAACTTATGGTGAGTCGAATTTCAAATATCCTGAGTTTTCTGAAAATAGTCGATGTAAGTATTATTAATCATAGTATAGTCTATCGAATTCAGACTAGGTAGATGTTTCCACCGGTAAGTATTATCATTATGTTGATGCAATGGTGTCACTTTGGCAGGCACTGGTAGACAAATTAGTCAAAAGTATGCACAAAAACTACGCAGGTTTGTCGACAAACAGTGCAATGTAAACGAATAGGCTTGACTCCTTCTAGTCTATTTGAATTCGTGATATAAACGGATACGCCAAAAGCGTATTCGGAGTCAGATCCAATAACTATATGTACATACGTTAAAAACTAATAAACATGTAGTTGATTCCCTCTGCGTTTTATAGTATGAACTGATAGGCAGCACAGTGGTCTAGTAGTAGACGCTATGAGTCCGATGACAATTTTTCCTAGGCCACGGCTTGACCATGGATGATGCAATTGCCCTTAAGTGGTTTCAGACTACCGAGCGTGGAGGTACTACCCGGCGGATCTTTAAGGCATATAATGTGTGCATGCCTAGTGATGCGCCCTTTACCCCTAAATCCCCTATAGTACCCACGGGTATTTAGGTCTCAGGCCTGCACGGTGTCTCAAGTATAAGAAAAAATCAGCAAAACGTGACCTTGAAGTACCTACCGTTTGAGCAGACCTGAAGAAGGCAATAACCCTCTCCAGCAACTGTTCCCTACTCTGTAGGTCCGTGAGGTAGTCTGAGGTAGTAGAGAGGACGACGTATGACTGGGTCGTCGCCTGTTCTCCGGCGTAACATCCCGAAGCTACAAGTTGCTCTGTAGCCTTTGTTATCTTCAGAGCTCGTTCTTGAAGTTGTCTTGCTTCCGGTATCAGTTTGCGGTGTTCGTGTAAAAGAAGCTCGGCACTTGATGAAGAATCACCTGAAATTATACAGGGTACATATAAAATATCCCTGGAAACTTGACAAGAATGCAAAAGGTTCCCTCAGAGGTTGAGGTGATCAAAAGAACTACCTTATTGGCAACCGCTAATATGACCTAGATAATCACCTCAGAGGTCACTTGGAGGTCAATAAACTAAAATCAAATAGCAACCACCACTTTTGATAGCAGATTCATGATCAGCATGACATTCTACATAGGAACCAATTTCTATAAGTGTCGTCAGATGGTCATTGGTCAAATCATCATGTCTGCAAAGTACACGAATGATCTGCTTCTGGCAACCACGCATTTTTCTAAAAAAAGGTTCTTACAGAAGTTTCAGCGAATCAAAAAATGAATCTATTGGTGACCTCTCACATAACTTATTTAATGATCCCAGAGATCGTTTAGAGGTCAATTATAATTTGAGGTTCCAATTATGAAAGGTCAGATTGATAGGTTGAACTGAAACGTTGAAAAGTTTACCAATGAGATCATTATCTAGATCATAGGTACTAAAGGTCACCAATAAATGATCTCCTGAAATTTCCATTGAAACCGTTTTCAATTTCTTTTCAAATTCAGGTTTTTAAGGTTCGGATATTCTAATTTCATTTCGGCAGTTGAAAATTTCAAGATGGTGGGTGGGCGCCAGAATATAAAACCCCTCTCTTTCTCTCAAAAATGGCAGATTGACGAGCTGCCAAATTTAGGAGTTAATACATTGACATGCTTATAGAAAGAACTATGTAATCATCAAAAATATATATATATATATGTAACTTATAAGTAATTTTGCTAGTCGCGCTATTTCCAAACCCTATCTACAATAGTTGGAAACCACAGATTTCCAGTATCTATGATTGACATACCGTATTGATGATTGTTAAACAGCATGAAACAACGTCCTGTTTGGTTAGTTATGATCGAATAGATGGAAAGCAAATAGACCATTTTCAGCCTGTGGTTAGTTCAAGCAGCATTTGCATAGTACGTCAATGCTACTCCTATGGCAGGTACTTGGTACCCCCTGAGCGACGATGGAACGCCTATGTGGTGGACGACACCGTAATGACAAATGCCGAAAAGCATGAAACAACGCTTTATACATCTATGGTCGCAGAGATGGAAATCAAACAAATCCTAGTCAGCCTACACTATAGCATATCAACATTCTTCTTCTGATTCTTTTGGATCCATGTAACGAAATTCATTAATAACGTGTCATATTTTCAAATGGAATGACGCACATTTCATTCATTTTAAAACAGCCTTTATGAGGAAAAAAGAAGAATAAGCAAGACAAACACTTCTTGTACTTGTCTATATATCAATATGACAGTTATTACAGGTTATTATGTAACCCGTAGAGAACATTCAATCTAACAACAACATGAAATTGCGCAAAAATCATTGAGCTCCTAGTGAGTATTTTATACCACTTGATGCTGACCGACGATGCATTAAGGGTATAATAAAAGTCAAGATGCCACACGAGAGGCCGGAAATTTGTTCTGCAGGCATAATGATTGATGTTTCTGCAAGATATTTACAGCTTTCCGATAAGCAAAGCTGCTTGTTCAACAGCGCGGATGCGAATATTCTACGATTGACTGGCAACAGCATGAATCATTGAACATGGTCAGTGACCATACCGATGGAATATTGAAATTTAGGTCAAATACTTGATTTGCACCTCAAGAGCCTTTCAGGTTCCTATTCCTATCTGTCTTGTTCTACTTAAAAGAGAACAAGGTATGCAGAATTATTATTACAAGTCAATTTCTTGTTACAAAGATTGTTAAAATAATAATAAAAATAATGTCTTTCAAGTGTTTTTTTGATAAATATCTAAATTATAGATATGGATTGAACATGCAGCACTAATATATGGTGCTTTTCTGTCAAAAAGAAATATGGATGTCCCAATATTACTGATAATCGAGGAATTAGTCTAATCATAATAGCAAATTTCTCCGAAATAATTGTAAAGTCTGGTTTTATTGGTGAAAGTTGTTCAAGGGGGTATTCAAAACATGGACGCATAAAATAGATACACCAATTTTTGTGTGAAAACTTTTTATGCGACAACAAAGAATGAGAAAACGTGTTTTTTGGGATTCAATAGAAAGTGTTGACAGGAACGGAAAAAATTTACATTCAAGATTTTTAGGTATTTATGAGACCTTCAAAATGAGACCAAACGTAAAAAGATCCGACTAATAGCAAAAATATTATGGCCGAAAAACGAGGCAAAATGCAGGTTTTGGCACTTGTTAGTAATGCGACGATAATTTGACGCAAGTTCTTGAGATTCTTAAAATCCGCAGGATTAATACTTCTAAATAACAACAACAAAATTGGAAAACTGGATTATATTGGTCAAGTAGTTTTTTGAGAATTTCTAATTGTTTATCCCAAAACACCTGTTTTCCCGTCATCACCACTAGTTTATTGAGCAATATAGGGTTAGTTCAAAGAGCATTTAATAGCAAAATACATGTCATTATATATATATAAATGTTATTTTTATGCGAAAAACAAAAATTACGTTTTTTCTTCTAAACAAATTCAAGCATTTCGTATTTGTGAGTAATTATCGTCGCATTACCAACAAGTGCAGTTTGCCTCGGTTTTCGGCCATAACTTTTTTGCTACCATTCGGATCTTTTTATGTGTGATCTCATTTTGTAGGTCTCATAAATACGTAAAAACACTGTATGAAGAGCTTTTTCGTTCCTGCCAACACTTTCGATTGAATCCCAAAAAACCCGTTTTCTCATTCTTTGTTGTCGAATAAAAGTTTTCCCACAAAAATTGGTGTATCTATTTTATGCGTCCATGTTTTGAATACCCCCTTGAACAACTTGCGGCAATAAGACCAGACTTTACAATTATTTCGCATACCATCGGTATTTTCGTCTAATTCAATTAGAATAACTAATCCGAGATATTTTATGTCTGGCGCGTTACGAGTATTAGTTTGGAGTTTCTGATTGTTTTTTTTTTTTTATTAGACACCCTCGGAACAAAGGAGCGGTCGTATCGGCCAGTTCTGGATGTACGAAGTTTGACACTTTTAGGATGGACGCCGAAGTCAGGCGGGTCTGTCTGGCAGGCACATCGCGCGGCGGCATCATGGAAGAGAGCTCTGAGGAGCAAAGCCCGTTGGTGTAGCGATAGAAAAGAGCTAGATCGCCGACGGCCCGCCGGTGCGAAAGAGTCCCGAGACTGTCTGTTAGAGAAGAGTCATCGATCAGTCGGACCGCCCTCCTCTGGACAGCATCGAGCATGGACAATGTAGTCGGGGCGGCAGCACCCCAAATGTGTGAGCAATACTCGAGGCTAGGCCTTATCTGGGCCTTGTATAGAGTGAGAAGGTCAGGCGGAGAAAAGTACTTCTTAGCCCTAAACAAATAGCCTAGCTTTTTCCCAGCTGCTGCAGCTATTGAAGAGATGTGTTCGTGCCAGATCAGTTCCTCGGTGATCTGGACTCCGACCAGCCGAAATGAATGGCTCTTTGGTAGAACTCGACCGTCCATCGAAACTGTATGAGCGCTAGGACGCTTTTTGTTCGTCAAAGTACAGTACTGTGTTTTGGAAGCATTGAACTGTACGAGATTGTTGCGTCCCCAAGCAGTGATAGCTTCCAGGTGTCTTGTCAGAGAAGAAGTCGTCGCTAGTCTTCTTTTTTTCCAGCTCAGCGGCAGACATCGGCTTGTCACTCTGAATTCCTGCATGTAGAGTGCTGTCATCAGCGGACCTGTGGATTGGGTTGATCGTGCAGGAAAGGAGGTCGTTGATATGTAAGAGGAACAGTGTTGGAGCCAAGACCGATCCCTGGGGAACACCCGCGTTGACGTTGTGGGATGAAGAGGAGAATCCGTCAATTACGACGGATATCTTGCGGCCAGAGATAAAGTCAGCCACCCATCTGCAAAGCTTTTCTGGGAGGCCGTAGGATGGAAGTTTGCTTAAGAGGGCAGCGTGCCACAGCTGATCGAACGCTTTCGTGATGTCAAGAGCAACGACATGAGCCTCACCATGAGACTGGATGAGTTTACTCCACAGTTGCGTGACATAAGCTAGGAGGTCCCCTGTGGATCGTTGGTGCCGGAAACCGTACTGCCTGTCGCGAATCAAGCTGTGACGTTCGAGGTAGTCTAGAAGCTCGCGATTTATGCACCTCTCCATCACTTTACTTATAACAGAAAGCAGAGCTATAGGCCTGTAGTTGTAAGGGTCGGTTTTAGATCCTTTTTTTGGGATGGGCTGTACATGAGCAAATTTCCAGTTTTCAGGGAAGGTGCCGGATTCATAAGATATCTGGAAGAGACGCGAAAGAACTGGAGCAAGCTCCGCTGCACATCTCTTCAGTACAATGGCAGGAATCAAGTCCGGACCAGAAGCTTTGTTGATGTCGAGCGACAAGAGCACTCGTCTTACGGTCTTATGCCTGAATGTTACCTCCCGCATAGTGTGGGGAACCCTTTGAATTGACGGCACTTGGGCGTTGGTGGGGACGTCCATGGTGGAGTTGGCAGCAAAGATCTTGGCTAGCACTTCCGCCTTGGCCTTTGAGTCGAATACAATAGTTCCATCCTGACGCGTAAGTGGTGGAAGGCTACTGTGTGAGAAGTTCTTTTCAATCTGCTTGGCCAGCGTCCAGAAAGACCGACTGCCATTGCGCTGCGACATTACCCTGTGCCTAACTTTTATATCATGCTGGTTTTTGGCATTGCGTACCGCTTCGTTATATTTGTTTCTGGAGGCGACGTCGGCTTGTCTGTTCTCTACAGTGGAGTTTTGTAAGTAGGTTCTGTGGGCCTTGATCTTCTGCTGGCGAGCAGTGTCACACGATTTGTTGAACCAGCCGTTGGGCCCTGGTTTAGGAACTTTCACTGTGTGAGGGATGTATTCCTCCATTCCGACGTGAATAATTTCGGTTATTGAAGAACAGACAGTCGACGCATCCGCGTCAGTGAAACAGACATCTCTCCAAGGAAAGCTAGAGAAGAAGTCTCTGAGCCCCTCCCAGTCGGCATGTCCGTAATGCCAAGTTTTGCGGCCTGTGCGAGTTTCTGCTGCCACAGCGGCTTCTGACTGAAACCTAACCTCCACAACACCGTGATCTGAGTTACCCAGGGGGGACAGGACAGCAGTGCTGTAAGGGGCAGGATGCGTGGTCAGAAATAGATCCAGCAGGCTACTGGCGTGTGACGAGACGCGGGGGAAAAAAGTAGGGCTCGTCACCAGCTGGGTCAGCCCTTGAGTAAGAGCGAACGCTTCGACTGCACGACCTGCTGCATCGGTCTTATTTGAGCCCAACCAAAGCTCATTATGGGCATTGAAATCACCGAGAAGAGCTACCTCTGAAGCGGGGTGATTGACGTTCAGGAAGTCGATCTGGACGGCGAGGTATTCGAGTAGGTCATCCCAGTTATGGTTCGAGGGAGAGCGATAAAGGCAGCAAATATATTTGGGTGATGTTTTGGAGTTGAGGCGAAGCCACAGAATGTCCTTCCGGTCTGATTCCAAAGAAAGATCCCTGGAGCAGGAAAGACTGCTGCGGACAAAAGCCACAACTCCCCCGTTCTTTCTCAGATTGGAGTGCACCTCGTAGTTTGGGAAGTTGAGATGGGTAATCGGTGCAGTCTCTGAGATTTTTGTCTCCGCCAAGAAAAGCATTGCGGGACGATTGGATTGCAGGTAGTGATGAACAGCATCAATGTTGCTGTTGATCCCGCAGATGTTCGAAAAACAAATTTTATCTTCGATGTTGTTCCCTCGAGCCCACCCTCCACCCGGACATTCCGAGAGTGGAGTGAGTTTACGTCCGGAGTTTTTAGTGCTCGAGGGATCCATCATCATTAATTTCTTTGTTTTGGTAGATAACCGACTGCATAGCTTAGTTGTGGAAACATGCGGACATTTATAAGACACCCTGGGAAAAGCTAGCGGGTGGTACTGCCTCGGTCGACTGGTCCTTGTCTACCACCTTCTTTTTACGTGTTAGTGATGTTAAATAGACCTAAAGTGGCCCGTTGGCGGACTTGTACCGCCACCCGGCAATCGGTACTGAGGTATTCCTTAACGCGTGCACAATCACTTGGACGGGAAGAAGTTGTATACTGGATACAACAACTTCTGGAACAAGCATTTGCCACGGCCCTCGCTCAGTAGGGAGTAGTATTGTTCACGGCAAAAGTGACATCAGTATAATTTGTTAGCGTAAGATACAAATGGCGCAAAATGTGTTTTTCAATAATGTATACTTAATTGTCTGTTATTAAGCCACTGTATAATTTTGATGAAATCATTTTCAATTATTTTTTGTATGACACTAATCACCTTTATGTAATATAGCAGTATCATCTGCAAAACTTATTTTGGCGATACAATCGATTTGAAATGTATTCTTCCAATGTATATTAAACAGTAGTGGGCCCAGGACGGTGACCTGTGAGACATCACACTTCAGGGCCATGAATTCCGTATTCCGCATTTACGTTGACTAAGGAGTCATCAAATTTATGGACGCAACAAGCATCGGACTTTAAACTTATAAAATCCAGTAAGAACGAACATTCTGCAACGGCACAATTGATGTATGGACATGTGAAAATTATTTATTGAACAGGTAATAACACTGCAACATACGAAACAATACAACTTGTCAGTCGGTTGATGGATCGCCTGAAATTAGAAAGTTACCGACCAAACTCGCCAACTGGAAGTAAAAAGGCCTGTTTCAACATTACTGTATAGCCCAGGCGTTATCTGTATTGGGATGTGCATTTCTGATCTTGTCAATGTCTGTTGGAGTTTATCTGAAAACGTCCCATATTGTTCTGGTAGGTATTGGAAAAACACTTTACGATGTTTGCGGCTACCCCAACAGCCATATTCAAGGTGAATGATTGGAGAATGTAAGAGTGACAACTACAGAATATAGTTCTAGGAGTTACAGTATCCAGAAGGTTCTTGGAATGTTGTTCAAAAACTTGTACGCGCATCAGAAACGTAGTTCAAGTGATAAAAAATGTAAAGATATCGTAAAATGGAATGGATCAAAGTGAAGTTGCAGGAATTACAATATCCAGAAGGCTGTTAGGAGTTGGAATATTGATATAATTAAGTTCAAAAACCTGTCGACGAATCAGAAATTTATTTTCAGTGATACCTTTAGAGATTTTTTAAAAATATATGGAAATGCTTATGTAAATCTAACGGACGTCAAAACTTGCTTAAACGCAAGTTATAATAAATTAACGCTGTAATATGTAGTTCTCATTCTACTTTTTTACGATGATTGCGTCTGCATAACAACCATGAACACGTGACTAGTATGAAGGCTTCAGAGACTGTCATTTCCATCTAAGCTCACAAAATTAATTGGTATATCCATCTTATTGATGACATGTATAGTACCTACGGTATAAATTAATTAATTAATTGAACTAAGCGTAGTAGCTTTCATGAGAGCATGTCTACGATCTCGACTGACCCGATGGATACTTGGATCACAAATCTGATGCTAGTTTCTTGCTGAGACTGACGAGAGGTGCCAAAAGTCCCATTTTTCTATGCCAAATCTGCTACGCACCACATTAGCATTTTATGGCGACCGTATTTGAAATTGGCTTTCCAAATTACCTTAGCATACCGATTTTCATTCGTTTATAGCTATGGAAGACTAAAATCAATTTTTGGCATCAAGAAATTTATGTATCTACAAGCTCCATCAAGACCCAAATTGGTATATTTTGTTAGATCACGAACCTAATGTTAATTTTCAGCTAAGATGGACGAGAGACCATAAAAGTCCAATTGTCCAACTCTACATAAAACTTTGAGGCACTTAGTACATTCTGATGGCCACCTAGCCAGTTGCTTGTGAAAACGGCTACCGAGAATGGAAAATTTGTCTCCAGAGACATTAAAGTTTAGAGGCATGCTATAAAGGAAAATAAGCCCGCAGTTTTCTTACGGAAAATGGCTCTCAGATAAATTAGTTGAAATTTTGGATAGAGATAATTTTCAATATGACAAAAATTCCTAATTGGGCCAGCCAGAAGCCCTTCCTCGACCTCTTGTGGAACTTAGAAGACCCCCAAGTACGGGTTATTGCAACATAAGCTATAAAATAATAGTATCAGTGGAGTAAAGTATATTGTTGTTAAGATTTCTCTTAGATGATGGTCATGGATTTGACATCGAAGGTTATGGTCAACGTCAGGTAAATTTCTAAGTGGTGCATCCTACTTTTGACCAGGAAAATGGACAACGAGGGGAATCTACTTTGTGTTTAAGCAGTTCGGAAACGCAGCAATTGACCGTCATGGTCAGAAAATCCTTCCCGACCTCCTATAAAACCCAGAAACCCCTCAACTAGGATTACCGATATATGTAGAATATTATTATAACTTCTAATATTCACCGAGAAGTGAAACATGCTGTTGTTACAATTTATTCCATACTGGCTAACGGTGAAAATGGGTTTGACCTTGAAGATTATGATCAAGCTCAATTCAATATGTTCAAACGGGACATCCGATTTGGCAGTGCTGCTATTGATTTTGACTGACTGAGTAGTAATGCGTCTTGCTTTGACTGGTCGGCAGACTTCTTATACCTCGAAATCACCCTTCTACACATGCCTATGCAGTATGCACAGACGAAACGGCGGACCTTCTCTCGTCTTGATAACACCTCCCCATATCCCCCGTTCCCAGTAACTCAAAAATCTCACCACCCTGTACGGTAGCCCCTATTTCAACAATAATACCTGTTTAAGCCATTTTATTACTTCAAAAACCCGAAGAGAGATTTCGAGGCCTAACAAGCCTGTTTGACGATCAAGGAGGATTCATTGCTGCGCATTTAATCAAAATAAGCAACATAAATAACAAATAGGATGTCCTATTTGAAAAATTGACCTGACCTTGACCATCTTCAAGATCACCATCAAAGTCTAATCCGTGATCACCATTGACCAGGAGAAATCCTAACAAAAGTATATTTACTTTCCCTCTAATAATATTAAAATAAAACGTATACTCGTCCTATCATGTGTATCAATAACTAAATAACTTCTACTGAGGGGATTTCTGGGTTCCGTTGGGGGGGGGGGGGGGGGTGATATTTTTGGGGGTCTGCTCCATTAAAACTTTTCATCGTCATGTTGACCTCTATGCAAAATTTCAATTAACTTAAGCCATCCATGAGAAAATCGCAGGGTTCCTTTCCAAATTTTGCCGTCGAACCAGAGCGATCCATAGGACATGTGTGTTGTGGTTGAAGGTTTGCAGTAGAGTAGGTTTGCTTGATTTGCTTGTCCAGCCACCGGACAAGGAAGGCATAAAGAAAGAAAAGACTAAGACATAGCAAGAAAGGGGGTAACTATGAAAAAAAATGGTTAAGCATTTAAGATTTACGTACCAAGTTGGTTGCTATTAGCTAGAAGTTCTCTTCTCTGATGAATGGTTTCTTCTAGTTCTCGTAAGTCGCTTGCCAAAATAGCTAAAGCTAGGCACTGTTCTAGCTGCGTCTTCCGTCTATTGAAAGTCGTTTCTAAAACCTGCCTTTTCAAATGCAATTCGTCCATCCAACCTTGAACTTGCGATATTGCTGAAAACGTTCAAAAATATGTAAGTCATGATGAAGAAAAAATCAGAGGTGCGACTTGATAGAATTTGGTTCGAGTACCAGTAGATTTTAAAGCTCTTCTGATCGGCAAGAGAAAACCAGTGATGGGCACATCATGTAAAATACATCATTGTATACGCTTATAAAATTGTAATGTCAACAATGTATAAAATAACAAATAATTGTTCGATTATGTCACCTGAATAAATGTAGCGCGTGTAGAAGTGATTTTTTTAGACCAGGGCACGCGGCAGCTATAGGACCTTAAAGTAACTTTGTTAATCGATTTTTGAACCGTATAAGGTTAGCAGAACTGGGAAAAGCCTCCTCGTGCAGATTGTTCTACAATCTGGATACCCTAGGGTCAAAGGAGCGGTCGTACTGGTCAGTTCCGAATGTACGAAGCCCTCCTCTGAGCAGTGAATAGTACTTGAGGCTAGGTCTTATCTGTGTCTTGTACAGAGTGTGGAGGTCATTGGGAGAAAAGTACACCTTAGCCTTAAACAAGCACCCAGCTTTTTCCAGCAGCTGCCGCTATTGACGCGACGTCTTCCTGCGAGATTAAGTTCTCGGTGATCTGGACCCCGACCAGCCGAAATGAATAACTCTTTCATAAAACCCGACCATCCATCGAAACCGCATAAGCGCTAGGACGCTTCCTGTCAGTCAAAGTATAGTACTCTGTCTTGGAAGCATTGAACTGTACAAGATAGTTGAGTCCCCAAGCAGTGATAGCCTTCAGGTCTCCGTCAGACAGCAAGTCGCTGCTAATCTTCTTTTTCCAGCTCCGCGGTAGAGATCGGCTTGTCACTCTCAGTTCCTGCATGTAGAGTGCTATCATCATTGTGGAATAAAGAGCGGATAACGTAGAGGTAATATGATAAAATTTTAACATCCATTCCAAAATATTTTCAATCCGTCTTGATGTGTTCCTGACAAACAGCTGTATGTTTTTTACTATTTTTAACTAAGTACTATGGATCCAGATTTCATCAGGATACTAAATGTTTTCTTCAACCTAACCTAACATTTAGCAAGAATCTCATATACTATTCTCCTGAAGATGATGGAATAGTTCATCGAAAGCTCGAGACAATAAACTATAAAGAGTCCTCCTTGCTTTAATCTTGTCGAAATAGTGAAGCTTTTTTCACCTAACTATATATGTATATATATATGACAAGTAGTCATTGCCAAAGCCAACGACTAGTTGGGTACAAAATACAATTACTTGTTAATTGGGAAATTTCCAAAACTTTTAGGCTTAAGTTGACTCTTTTGACGTTAAAATCAAGCTTTCTATGGAGCCATCATCAGGATTCTGAAAACACAATTGTGATGCCAGCAAAGAAAACAGGACAGATTTAAAATGTCAGACAACTTAACTACGTTCTTTCTGCAACACCTTGTGGCTGCAACCTCACCGACGAGTAAGTTGTCTGACATTTTAAATCTGTCCTGTTTTCTTTGCTAGCATCACAATTGTTTCAGAGTCCTGATGATGGCTCCATAGAGAATGCCGAAAGCTTGATACTATCGTCAAAAGAGTCAACTTAAGCCTAAAAGTTTTGCCAATTTCCCAATTAACAAGTAATTGTATTTTGTACCCTATATATATATATATATATATATATATAAGTTGAGACGTGGTCATTGTCGTCTAGACCAGTTAGGTGAAAAATTAAAGCTTCCGCCTTTTGTTGGGTACTTCGATAAAAATTTCTACACAGACACTGCAACCTTCGGCCATCTGTTGTAACGCTTCCTTTCCGCAAAAAGTCCAGAAAAGATGGAATGCAATGAAGATTCCAACATTTCTGCACAATCACAGAAAGGGGGTTACAATTAGCTTCCGGTAGCTCAGTCGGTGGCATGAAGACATCTACAGGCGTGTAGCTGTGTGTCGACCATGGCATGGCTAGAGGATAGAAGAACAAACAGAACACAAAAATTTAACAGATTTTATTTAACAAAAAAAAGGCATTTTCATTACATTACAATTTTACAAAAATAACAAAATAAGTTTTACATCTTTGGCGCTGCTATAACGCTATCGACTTATCTTTCGCTGGTCCATTTTTACTCGACTGAAGCCAGGATGGCCAGGGGCTTGAAGGGGAGGTCCCAGTTATGAGGGGTGACCTCCATATAGTGGCTTCATAACCAGTTGTAGGCGAAGTTAAAGGCGATGGCGCTGCCAAGGCACATGCATGGGTGAAAATATTGGCCAAGGCTAGGCAAAGTGAAAGGGAAAGAGAAAGGGGGTGGCCCCAATCATTTTTGTCCTATACGGACACACATTCTAGAAAATTCTAGCACAAGGTGCTATATAACCTTGTGCTACTGAGAAGAAATTTCTAGCCGTTGTTCGATCGGCGGCTCAAGTGAAAAGGAAGCGCGAGGAAGATCGCAGATCAGGAACTCCGCATCAAGCGCTCCAAGCGGAAAATTTTCCAAGCAAAAAAGCTAGAGATGGGATTAATGAAATGATAATCGAGAAGTGATTTAATAAATACGATCGGACGGTGAAACCGTTACACTCGCCCCAACTTAACCAAAAAAAAAAAATCGAAGAAGCATTTAAGAATTTTTTTTTTTTTTTACTAGGAAATTGAAAGTTATCACGGAAGGACAAATGTACAACCATTCGACCAGATAACAAGTAGTAAAAGTAAGGTAGAAACAAAAATGTTAGAAGAGAATTGGAAGAAAAAGGGATAGCCTCAAGTCTACCAAACAAGAGGGATGGTTATAGCACCAACTCGCTGAAAAGTACAGTGAAGTTGCACCTTAAAAAAACTATCATCATATGATGAAAAACCCAAAACATAAAACATCGTCATACCTAAGACGAGAAAAATAATAAACCAAAAGCTTCAGCAGTAGTCCAAGCATGAAGTGAGGAATCACAATGGCATCCAAAATGCACGACTGACTACTAAAAACTTCAAAACTAAGTAAGTACCTAAACCATAAGAGGTACCAAAAAAAATAATAATCTTTCTCAAAACAGTTGCCAGATTATCTCGCAATACCCCAAACCCAAAAAGAATATCATATACAGTGATATTTTAAACCAATATCCAATATTGAAAAAAACAGTGCATTACTATTGTCAAAATATGAAAATCAAAAGAAATTAACAAATTCTATTAAGAATTCCAGTTATATAACAAAACAATTTACAAGTACTGAATCAATGAAAACTTGATCAAGAAGGTATTTTAATCAAAGAAGGTGTGAACTAAGTGCAGTTCTGATTCCAAAAAAAAAATTGTCGGGCGCCAGCAGTCTGTAAGACTACAAAATAATTCAAAATATTTTCAGAGAATTAAAGTATATAAGAGACATTCATGAAATATTGAAGTAAGATTTTCAAAGTCAAAATATAGCTTAAGTTCAATCAATGAACTAAAATTCAAGAGTAAGTTCAATCAAAATTTTCGGGTCATGTGACAACATAAGAACCAGACCAAAAAAAATTTTGAAGTTCAATATAGAAAAGAGCAAAATAAATTTCCAAAAAACTAAGTGCAACACAAGTGCAACTGTAAATCTAATAGTGTTAAAATCATAAAGTGAAAGGAAATATTAAAGCTATATGAGCATGATTTTATAAAGGGTTCTCAAAAAAATTTAAAAGTAAGCAAAATATTAAAAGTTTCATGAGTAATAAATGAGAAACGAAGTGAGCATATGTAAAATGCAAAATAGCGAAACGAAAATCACAAGATATTTTAATAAATCATGATACATGAGAGTAATGCCGCAAGCAAAAACTGTATGCAAAGGTCTACGATATATGTAGGTGACAAAATGGGAGTTATAAAAAAACAATCTAGTGAACAAGAAATAGAAATAAATATGATAGGTAAGAATTAGAATTTTGATTTAAAGCAAAAATATGAGAGAAAGACAACTTTCTAGGGTCACCATAGGTGCACTCCAAAGCCCTAGACAAGAATGTCTATAGTCTATGGAATATTATCATGTAGATCACTGATATCATCGGCGCACTTCAAAGTCTACACTGAGAATAACCATATCATTGTAAAATGAAAGTTAAGTTCAAATATGAAATATTACAAGATTAGAAAAACTATAATAATTTACCAGTGTAAAGTATGAAAAGCGAATTACTATACTGAATCTATAAGAATTGGCGATTACTTCAAGTCAAGACAGAAATTGAAAGAAATAAGAAGTCGAAAAAAACTATGAGAGCAGACTATCAAATCAAATGCAATAATGCAAAAGCAAAATCACCAGATATTTCAAAATCTATAGCGAAACATGAAAGTAATGTCGCAAACAAGCTCAAGACTTAGCAATACGCACAAATGTGCACAAAGGCTGAAAGCATATATGAAAAATCTCAAGAAGGAATTGACAATTACTTCAAATCAAATTGAACTGACTGAATTGAACTGAGACATAAATTACTATATCAAAAGTGAGTTTTACTTATACGCCAGAGGTTTCAAGAGTTTATCAATACGCACAGATTTGCAACTAGGCGGAAAGCATATATGACAAGTCTCAAGAAGAAAATGAAATGCATATGAAGAAAACACTTTCAATTAAAGAAACTGTGGATAGTACAAGACCCTCAAAGGCATACATCGCAACGAATCTATGTTACTATCCAGACTACAAAATACTGTCAAAGTTCAAAACCACTCAAAAATATGTGAACAAACATCAAAAGTTTGAACCAAAAATCAATATAAGTCTGTGCTCTCGAAGAAAGTTATAATGAATTCAAAAAGAGGATACTATCAAAAACTTCAAAAGTAATAGACTTCAATAATAGAAGTACGTAAGTATGTAAAGGAAATTCAGAAAATATACGCATAAAAACATTATAAAATATTATACACAGTATTTGTCACATGATTTAGATCGGGAATGCAATTTAAATTTTGAGTACACTCAGAAAAATGAAATATTCAAAAGATGAAGTATACACATTAAATTGGAATCAGAAAAATAATGATTACTTGTAAATTTTGTACATGGTGGACTGACGTAATGGTTCAAAAGGTTGAAAGAACAACGATGACAAATGTCCAAAGTAAACATTCAACTGCCTTTTACAGTAAATTAGCTTAACAATTATCAAAGGAAATTCTTGTCCGTTCGCATCTGTACTTGGAAATAAACATAGGAAAACCTACTCGCTCCAATGTACAGATCGAAAATCTCGCCCCCTTCGATTGAGCGGAAATATGTATTGGACTGATTGTAATATTTCAAAAGGTTGAAGGATCAACGATGTTAAATGTCCAAAGTAAACATTCAGCTGCCTCTTACAGCAAATAAGTTTAATCATTATCAAAGGAAATTCTTGTCCGTTCGCATCTGTACTAGGAAATAAACATAGGAAAACCTACTCGCTCCAATGTACAGATCGAAAAACTCGCCCCTTCGATTGAGCGGAAATATGAGTATTGGACATATTGTAATATTTCAAAAGGTTGAAGGATCAACGATGTTAAATGTCCAAAGTAAACATTCAGCTGCCTCTTACAGCAAATAAGTTTAATCATTATCAAAGGAAATTCTTGTCCGTTCGCATCTGTACTAGGAAATAAATATAGGAAAACCTACTCGCTCCAATGTACAGATCGAAAAACTCGCCCCCTTCGATTGAGCGGAAATATGAGTATTGGACTGATTGTAATATTTCAAAAGGTTGAAGGATCAACGATGTTAAATGTCCAAAGTAAACATTCAGCTGCCTCTTACAGCAAATAAGTTTATTCATTATCAAAGGAAATTCTTCTCCGTTCGCATCTGTACTAGGAAATAAATATAGGAAAACCTACTCGCTCCAACGTACAGATCGAAAAACTCGCCCCCTTCGATTGAGCGGAAATATGAAAGGATCCAAAACACTATAAAAAACTAACAATACAAACAAACAGTTTCAATACAAAAACAGGAGCAGCCGAATCTTAAAAAAATTATTTTATATCTGACATACATTAAAAAAGTACAGAGACGTACAAGTCCTGTTAATCCAATGGAAAATCAGACACTAATGTTCTAATTTCCCTCAAAGAATATGCCAGATAAAACTATAAAACATTAAAATTATGAAAACTTATGCTCCAAACAAGAGACAAAATTACTACAATAGTTATTTAGGAACGTATGCTATTTCAACAGCAAGTTGAAATTTAATTATCATAAATGAGTATGTGTGTCTTTGTATAGGTAAAAATGATTTAGGAGTCACCCCCTCATTGAAAAGTAGCAAAAATATAGTCAAGAAAAACATCATTTGTTTCTTGAAAAAAAAGAAAGGTAAGTATCAAAGTACTATGTCCAAGTGTCAATACTTGAAAAAAAATAAACCGCCAAAATATACGAAAAATTATGAATATCAATTTCATATAATTCAGAAAAATGGATAAATCGCAAAATGATTTACTCCAGATAACTCTAGTCAGTAGATTATTGCCATCAGAATGAAAACAAATGATCAAAAGTTCAAGTACAGTCAAAAATTCAAAAAGTAAATACATTTGGGGAAGGCAAAAATAATTTTGAAAGTAAATTTCCTACGTACCAAACATCATGAGAGCTATATCAGTACACCAGAGATCCAACAATTAGGCTATATATGCATACATGAAAAGTCTCAAGAAATCAAAAAACTGCACATGAAGAAATACTTTCAAAAACTAAGAGGTTAGTGATCAAAAATGAAAAGCATATAAGAATATGTAAACTATCAACAACAATAGTCACAACCTCAATCAAAAGTTTGATGATATTCGACAAAAATGCTGGGAAACCTAAAGTCCCCAGACTATCAATATTCAACAACAAAAAAATATCAAAATATCATCAATCTCAAAAGTACAATGAGAAAAAAGTTATAACTGTCCCCAGCAGTAAATAAAAACTGTAGTAGTATGTGAGACAAAAAATTCTGGCAATGATCTCGCTGACTACTAAACAAGACAATTTAAAAGTTAATAGTATGCCTATGAAATAAACAGGTGGAAAAATTTTAATCTTTTGATAAAAATTTTAAACATTAAGCAAAAAGTAAGGATGATTAAGGAATTAGAAATTTGAGTACCAAAAGCAATTAAAAATAGAAATGCTGCCAAAGATTGTAAAGAATTTTGAAAACTATGTTCTGTTTGCCAATCTTCCACTAGCAAACCACTTGTCGACAAAGCCAAACACCAATCGATGCCTCACGTTGCGAGTGCCAATTTATGTAACGCTTCCTTTCCGCAAAAAGTCCAGAAAAGATGGAATGCAATGAAGATTCCAACATTTCTGCACAATCACAGAAAGGGGGTTACAATTAGCTTCCGGTAGCTCAGTCGGTGGCATGAAGACATCTACAGGCGTGTAGCTGTGTGTCGACCATGGCATGGCTAGAGGATAGAAGAACAAACAGAACACAAAAATTTAACAGATTTTATTTAACAAAAAAAAAAGGCATTTTCATTACATTACAATTTTACAAAAATAACAAAATAAGTTTTACATCTTTGGCGCTGCTATAACGCTATCGACTTATCTTTCGCTGGTCCATTTTTACTCGACTGAAGCCAGGATGGCCAGGGGCTTGAAGGGGAGGTCCCAGTTATGAGGGGTGACCTCCATATAGTGGCTTCATAACCAGTTGTAGGCGAAGTTAAAGGCGATGGCGCTGCCAAGGCACATGCATGGGTGAAAATATTGGCCAAGGCTAGGCAAAGTGAAAGGGAAAGAGAAAGGGGGTGGCCCCAATCATTTTTGTCCTATACGGACACACATTCTAGAAAATTCTAGCACATGGTGCTATATAACCTTGTGCTACTGAGAAGAAATTTCTAGCCGTTGTTCGATCGGCGGCTCAAGTGAAAAGGAAGCGCGAGGAAGATCGCAGATCAGGAACTCCGCATCAAGCGCTCCAAGCGGAAAATTTTCCAAGCAAAAAGCTAGAGATGGGATTAATGAAATGATAATCGAGAAGTGATTTAATAAATACGATCGGACGGTGAAACCGTTACACTGTCAAAAGGTTCATCTTATTCATTATTCCATGCCCACGATTTTGTGCAATCATCAAGTGGCTTCACGATGTAATGCTTTACTTTCATTTTCTAAAAAAATTTTGAATCTGTTTTTAACTTGTTCTTGTGATACAGCTGTGTGTATTTTATATAATTTTGACCATTGTACCATTTATCCAGCTTTCACCATGTTACTGGGTGTTTCCCTCATCCTTAACGTAAACAACAATTAGCAACATCCTCACATACTACTGTAAGTTAATTTAAATTCATTTTACACTATTGTTGCTACTGTTATCAATGTAATTGCAGCTCCTGATGATGATGGCAAAGACCATTGAAAGCTAGAGAGAATAAAAAAAAGTATAAAGAGTCCTCCTTGCTTAATTTTTGTCGAAGTACCCAACAAAAGGCGGAAGCTTTAATTTTTCACCTATATATATATATGAGCAGTAGTCATTGCCAAAGCCAACGACCAGTTGGGCACAAAATACAATTAATTGTTAATTGGGAAATTGGCAAATTTTTAGGCTTAGACTCTTTTGACGATAAAATCAAGCATTCAGCATTCTATATGGAGCCTTCATCAGGATTTCGTCCTTGAGGGCTTCAAAACGAACGTTGAGAAGATAGAACTTGTAATAAGTATAAAAACAAACGGACGGAGACATTGGGCTTGTTGATAACGACAGATACCTTCGTTACATGTTAAAAATATCAATACACCCGAACATAATAAAATTATTATTAAACGTGAGAAGACATTTTAGGGAAACAATCGGAATGCGGAAAGCATTCCGATTGTTTATAATTAGGCAGGCAAAAATTAATAAAATAGCGGGCCGATAGCCTCATACCACGATACAAGAGAAGTTGCATATCTGTACGATTTCAAGCGACACCGTTGAATCAGAGAATTTTTTTAAAGATACAGCGCTCGACGGGATATTTTCTTCCATCTTTGAACAAAATGGAAAATAGTTCGTGAACTTATTTTGAGCGCGTCTGACCACATTATGCTTATAATTGCTGGTTTACTGATGTTTTGGCGTTTGCTAGTAAACCTAATCTGACTTATTGCTATTCTATATACTGTTTTTGTCATTGTATATATCAGAACGTACACGTTCAATGTTTATGCATAAGCGCTCATCACTGCAAATAAAAAAAAGCGCACGCATCTGAAGATAGTAACTTATTTACATCATTTGGAGCACCCCCTCATTGGTTACCGCAGAAACTGCTTAAGCTTTCGCTTGAAATGCGGGTGGTCTTGAGTTCTAGCCTGACTGATGGTGAATTGGCATCTATTAACAGAATCGAGTAGTTCGAGAGCGAATAGCAGCTTTCTTTTGGATCTGTGAAGCTATGTCAGTTCATGTTGAAAGCCGAGACCTCACTGTGAGCACTTGAAGCCGTCGATTCTGGCGACATAGTAGGTGATGGTCTACTCGCCATTGAACATTAATAATACTGCTTTCGATTGTCCGACCAACAGATAACTAACTTCAAATAGATGATACTTTGATCAGCTTTTGATCGTTGTCCTACTTACAGACCAAGCCTAACCCGCGAATGATTACGAAAAAGCATGAAGAATTGGACATGGTTGAACGGACGAAAGCAGTATTATTGGTGGTGCATTACTTTTGTCTGTTGGTGTATCTACTTCAGGTTTACAAATATCCTCTCATATGTAACGTTTTTTGCTTACCTCGATTAACAGAAATTCGAATTCGGTCGGGTCTCGAGTCGAGTGTGCCTTCAGCTCCAAGCTCTTTCAGCTTGCCTAACAAATTATTTCCTGCTTGAAGGGCACCCATCAGAGATTCCAGGACTGCCCTGCGCTGCTCATGGATGTTGGTCAAAAACGTCTTTACAGCGTCTATTTCTATAGGCACAGTCGCATCTCTAGAACGATTATGACGACTTACTAATTTTCACCAATTCGAATAAAGAAGTTGTCATGCAAAGCCATGAGCCAATGGAGATAAAATGTTTGGGAGGACATATACAGCATCGCTAATCCTAAATGAAAGAAACCAAAGACTAGGACTCTTAAAAAAATGGATCCTATAAAAATAGATGGCACTATATGTGAAAAGACTTCAATAGTTTTATTTTTGCTGTTATATTAATTACTATTATTTTGTTTGTTTGTTTCAGATTTATTTAGCATTAATGCTACTATGTCCATAATACCCATATTACACAATATATCACAAAATATATTATGTCTTCAAGACTACATATTTTTATACAAAATTTCATTACTATGAGTTCTGGTTTTCGATGAGCTATGTTCTCAATTTCCCTTTGAACATTTTCAAACTGACTCACATCTTGATATCATTACTTAATTTATTAAATTCGAAAAATCCCTTTTGAAAAACTGACTTGCTCGTTATATTGCTACTGCAGTTTTGTAAATGAAAGTCTATACTTCCTCTAGTAGAATAATTGTGGCACTCATTGTTCAATACAATAAAATTTTCTAAGTGATTTGGTAGAAGATGATTTTTCAACTTGAATATGAAAATGAAAACCAAGTAGGCTATGAAATTTTTGATACTTAACAATTTTAGTTCTTTCAGCATGAAATTTATTCTAGTATATTTATTTTTATTTAAGGTGATTCTCATAGCATTATTTTGTAATATTTGTAATTTCATTTGCAGTGAACAAAATAGTCGAACAATATAACAAATGAGGAAGAATGATAGTGTTGTACACAATTTTTTTAGAATAAACGCTTAGGCTATGCGAAATTCTATAAGAGTAATTTATTTTCTTGGATATTTTCGAAATAATATATTCATAGTGCCCTTCAAATTTTAATTTGCTGTCTACGTATATGCCCAAATATTTAAATGATTCGATGGACACAATTTTTTCATGATTAATTGTAAGATTTATCGTATTTTGATCTAAAGATTTTCCTATTAGCATATATTTTGTTTTGTTTGTGTTTAGTTTAAGTTTATTTACATTTAACCAATTTATTACGTTCTTCATATAATTATGTAATAGCACTATTGCAGTTTCGATGTCTTAATTTGATATATATATATATATATATATATATACAGGGTGTCCGCAAAGTTGAGGTTTTCCTTTTCAGAAACAACTACCCTTGAAATAACAAAGGTAATGTGTAGTGAAACGAGGGCGACCAAGTTAAAAAAATAAAGGAAAAAGTACTCTCTCTCCAGTTGACGAGAAGGGCTAAGTACGTCTCAGCCCGAAATCATACCGCTCCAACAGAAAATGAAATCAGCTGATGCGCTACCGAGCAGACGCACCATGCCAGCCCAAACATTCACCGAAAATGTTTGTTGAAAATGTGCCCGACGGACAGCGTGCGGAAACATGAGTGTTGCGAAAGTTATTCACCCCATTACGCGTGAATGTAGATTCGTCTGTCACCAATATGCACTTCAAAAAGTCCGGATTATTGTCATGTTGATGCAACAACCACTCACAAAACCGCACTCGTGCTGGAAAATCGTCAGCCTGAGGGGCTTGTCGTGTAAAGGAAAACCCCAACTTTGCAGACACCCTGTATATATATATATATATATAAAGAGAATATGATCATGCCTGAACCTGAGGAAACGAAGTTGGAGGGAAAAAACGTCTCCTTGAAAATTCGAGGTCGTATAGCCATTTTATACTACAATGTGTAGGTTGGCTCTTGTTGTGGACTTCGTGTGTCGTTTTTTCCCTCCAACTTCGTTTCCTCAGGTTACACCCGTATCCGGATGTGTGGGCATGTGTATCTACTTTTGTAGTTTCATATGTGCATTCATTTCGGGCCTGATGAAGCCAACCAGCAGAAATACGTATCGCTCGGGTTACCTATCCTATTTTCTGCTCGAATCCACTTTCCTCCTTTTTGCGGATTTTGACCATTATTTTCCTACTTGTTGTTATATACATTTCTCCGCATGATCATATTCTCTTTGTAGATCCTTTGGGTTTGAAGTACCACAGCAAGTGGCTATAACCGGCCGCGTGGTGGTGGTTAGACGTCTCCTTGAAAATTCGAGGTCGTATAGCCATTTTATACTACAATGTGTAGGTTGGCTCTTGTTGTGGACTTTCTGTATCGTTTTTTTTTCCCTCCAACTTCGTTTCCTCAGGTTACACCCGTATCCGGATGAGTGGGCATGTGTATCTACTTTTGTAGTTTCATATGTGCATTCATTTCGGGCCTGATGAAGCCAACCAGCAGAAATACGTATCGCTCGGGTTACCTATCCTATTTTCTGCTCGAATCCACTTTCCTCCTTTTTGCAGATTTTGCCCATTATTTTCCTACTTGTTGATATATATATATATATATACAGGGTTATCCAAATTAAGTGTCCACCATTAGTCACTTTGTTATTAGTGAAAATACAAAGTTGTTTGAATTAGCAAACTAGTAGCATTTTTAACGCTGGTAAAAATGAGAAATAAAAAAAAAACAATTGAGAGTCGTTATTTTGATTTTTTTCAGTAAAATAACATTTTTTTAAATGGAAACCCCTGTATATTATATTTTTTTCTGTTAAAGCATCAAATTTTAAACAAAAAAGCTTACAATAACTTTTCTCCTAGGTTACAAATTGTTGAAGTTATAGCCTCCAGTCTGAAACAATTAAATTGTATCGACAAACTTTATTTTCAACATCAACTTATAATCTTACAAAATACAATAACAATTTTTTTTAAAGAAGATGCTCGAAAACACCACCTTGTTCTTCAATACATTTTTGGGCACGTTTTTCAACTGCTCGAACTGTCTTAAGTATGGTCCTACCATCTATCTGGGTTATCTTTTCCCTAACTGCAGTCTTTAACGCGTCAAGGTTATCGTACCTTCGCTTGTAAATTTGGTTCTTTAAGTAACCCCACAAGAAGTAATCAAGTGGGTTTAGATCTGGTGATCTGGGAGGCCACTGTATTGGGCCATTTGTTCCTATCCACCGATCATTAAAAGTAGTACTTAGAAAATGATAAGTACCTCTCGTCTAAGAAATTAGTCAGAATTTCTGACATAAATTCCACATATCTTTCACCAGTTAGGGTTCCCTCATAAAAGAACGGGCCAACAATTTTTGAACCAATTATACCGCACCAAACGTTGAAACTGAAACGGACTTGTGGGCCTCTTGGATGTACTAACAAAAGATTTTCTCTTGACCAATAATGGTGGTTTTTTCTATTAAACATTCCAGAATTTGAAAAATTTGATTCATCTGTCCATAAAAGGTAACGAAAGTTATTTACATTTTGGCGACAGAAGCTAAGATACCAATGGCAAAAAACAAGTCTTCTCTCTGGATCCCCTGCCAAAAGTGTTTGAACTGGTCGGTACTTATACGGAATAAATTTGTATTTTTTTAAAATCCTTTGAACAGTACCATAACTGAAATTAGAGTCCTTGAGAATATCTGCTATTGAATTCTCACGATAAGCTTCAAAATATCCAATAACTGCAATTTCCGTGGCCTCGCTTATTATGAATTCTTTTTTTGCCCTTGTTTTAGCAAAAACATTTTCGTTGCCCCTAAATTTTCGATAAAGTCTCAGAAAATATCGTTCATACGGTTGAATGCGAGCGGGATATAATTCACTGTAGTATTCTCTTGCTCTCAAGGAGGATTTTCTGCACACTAAATAGCATTCTAACATATCACACTTTTCTTCATGGGAGAACATTTTTCTTTAAATTAATGACACAATAAAGCTTATAAACAAGTATTTACACTAATGTTTGACATTATTTTATTTTATCATTGTTTTCCAAAGCCTTCTAGTTGCGAGTATGTCCAGTTTAACAATTTGTCGCTTATCTTAATGCTGTCAAATCGCGAACGCCATGTTGTTTTCATAGCCGTCTTAATATTATAATACTGCAAATAATTAAAAATATTTATCGTTATTTTGACTTTATTTTTGACTTTAGCGGAAAAGTCATTATGAACTTTTTTGTTTAAAATTTGATGCTTTAACAGAAAAAAATATAATATACAGGGGTTTCCATTTAAAAAAATGTTATTTTACTAAAAAAATCAAAATAACGACTCTCAATTGTTTTTTTTTATTTCTCATTTTTACCAGCGTTAAAAATGCTACTAGTTTGCTAATTCAAACAACTTTGTATTTTCACTAATAACAAAGTTACTAATGGTGGACACTTAATTTGGATAACCCTGTATATCAATGTATCATCAGCAAATAGTTAAATTTTGCAGTGTTGTAAAATATCAGAAATATCGTTAATATATAAAATCAATAGTAATGGACCTAATTTGGTACCCTGTGGCACACCTACCCAAATGTTTTTAATGTTTGATAATGTATTGCCAATTTTAGTTCTTTGAGTTCTATTGATTAAATAATTTCGTAATAAGTTGAACACTGAACCTTGAAATCCATAGCAATGCAGTTTCGTTAACAATTTGTAATTGTTAGGTTATCCTTATTTACGGGGGTTGCATGGAAGAGCAACGGTGTTGAATGCCGCCTCCTTCATCAAATGAGTTTTTTTTGTTTGCTCTTTCAACCCAAAAGAAAGACACACTATTATTATTATTATTATTTTTATTATTATTATTATATAGGCATAATACCGCTGAATTGTACCTCCAAGTTTTTATATAAAAGCCTTACAGAGGACCAAATCTATCGCGACTGCAGTAATAACGTAAAACAATGAGTATTTTGATTGGGGACCGATATGTCCATCGGCAATGTCGGACGCGAGGCTGACATGACTGCGCTTATGCCAACATAGGCCGGCCGATACAAATCAGAAAGTAAATAAGCATCAGGATTAAAGAACTGACAAAAGAAACAATAATATTAATATGATATTCTCATTAATTGTATCAATCTAACCCCGTTTCTGTTTTTTTGCATAATGTAAATTGCACAACGATTTTGTAGGTCTTTTGAGAAAAACATTTGATTTTCTGTAAGTGAATGTTCAACCGTTCTACTTCCCGCTCCAATCGCCGAGGACATATTGCAACCACGAAAAATTTCAAAAATGAGTTATATTTTTTGGATGTTACATGACGTGTACACAAGATTACTTCTGTGCCAAGGGGGGTATAGTTATTTTTTTTTTGATATTATATCTATACCCTCCCAAGCTTGATAATTCTACGCACCTATTAGAAATATCTGCTGGCCTTAAAACTCTGATAGAAAAATACAGGCGTGCCGGTCTTGGTAAGCGTCCTGGGATTAGTGCCGCGATGTCACGTCTGATGCGTCATTCGGTTTGGTACCGGGGAGAGGTGAAGTTGCCACATGAACGGTACCACCGGCAAGGCAGGGAAAGAATGTCTATGGACTAAATGTATCGGCCTATTTGACTGACTTGATCTATAACATTGTGCCGAACATAATTCTTAATGAGCTGATGACGGCTTTACGTAGGAAGTACACAGTCAACCTACTTAACGCGATTTTTTCCTTACCTGCATGTGGCCTCAAGCACATCCATCTTTTCGAAAAAGTCCTGTGCGTTCCTGTGGTATTCGACATTCAGATCGAGTATGTGTTTTCTGAGTTCCAGATTTGAATTAATATCCTTCCAGGCCCTTCCAAGTGATTCTGCCATAGCTGCGTAGACTTCCGCTCTAGGTTTCTGAGTGGCTATCAGCTGATCCGCCTGTCTGAGGAGCTCTTCCACGGGACTCTGCTTGTTCTAGATGGACATAAAATGCTTTGAAATTTGTTATTTAATTTTGTAATGCGTAAAGTAGCGAACATTGGAGAAATCATGCCTACGTTTCCTTTGGTGAGTTTTGTTCAGACCAAATTATACAGGGTGATTCAGTTTATTGTTGCATAACTTTAAGATTCGATAGAACTTTTAAAATTAATGCATAAAGTCTATATAAACATGGGTCGAAAAATGCGTGGGTTCCGAAATACAGGGTGTTTAAATTTACTTTCTAAAATAGTTTTATTTAAATATTTCGAACAATATTTGATGTGTAACAGTATACAAGGGTGTTTTGGTACGACAAAACGAACCATGGGCATAGTTTTACTGTAGCCGCTAGAGGTCGCTTTCTACTGTACCTATAGTGTATTAAAATGACCGAACATTTTTTCTTAGTGCAATTTTTTCAACATAAAAAAAGCTCTCTTGTGAATTTTCGTTATAGTTAGCCGTTTTTGAGATATTTCGATTTTTAAGGTTCGATGCATTTTTAACCCTCTATTGCATGAATTTTGTTTTTTTTTGTTAAGATTTTTTTATTTCATGTTTTATGTATGTGAATGGTCATAGAAATAAGGCACAAACATTATTTTCAAAAAATTTATTCAGAACATAAAAAAAAATTTGTGTTCCCAATTGGGAACATCATGCGTTTAAGGATACATACATATATTTCCAAAAGAGACAAAACCTTTCAATTACAATGGAATTCCTTAAAACAATTGTTGGTAGAATTGAAGCATAAGTGTACAGAAGCGTTTAAGCTCTTCAAACCTATTGATAGGCATCACATCTGCAATTTGAGGTATCCTAGTACCAGCAGCCCAGTGTCTCCTAGTGGAATGTTGTCTTACTAGAGACATCCATATGATTATTCCTAAGAACTGCTCTATTTCTTTTATATCTGTGGTTATTGGTTTGTTAGGCCTTTTCTGTGCACTATACAAGCACGTTTGTTCTACAACTTGTGCAAGAAATTCATCCGTGAAGAAAAATTTGAAAAAACTGTATGCACCATGTATCTGTAAGATGTCTTCTGGAAGATCACTTTGACCAAGAAATGTATTTTCTTGAGGATCTCTCATAGTTGTTGACTGCTTCCAAGATATATTATCGTCAGTTTTTGAGAAGAAAAACCTGGTATTAGGTGGAAGGCGAAATAGTTGTGCTAGGGGAATATCATCTGGGTCTGAATCTGCATCTTGCAAGTCTTCCGTGCCCAAATCATTCGTTGATATTGGTATTTCCACTGTAAATAAAATGAATATAAATTAATGTTGCCCGAGAAGCATTTTTTATCTCACCTTGATCCTCGTCATGTGATAGTTCCGAATCCTCGCTGTCAGATGGAATACCGCGAATAAACTGAACTTCAACCCTTTTACGCCCATACAATGCACCTGGTTTTATTTCAGGGAAATCCATTGTCGTTTGGATCTATAATAGAAAATGCTATTTAGTAAAGAATGGAAGACAAACAATTTCCGTTATTGACCTTGGATGCATAATGTTCCCGAGCGGGAACATTAGGGTTATGTTACCTCGTGGCAACAAATATCATCAAAATTAATTACATTTTGTACAGTATTATTCAAACAATAATAATTAGTAATAAAAAAAATAAAACACTCACCTAAATGCAGCAAAAGAGCTATTTCTTGTAATAAAAGTGAGATAACAATCTGGAACGGCCGCTTGCGACGCTGTCAAATCAAATGCAAACCATGAGGTGCTCCTAGCAACATCTATCGGTTGAAAAACTATACGGAACGGTGCCCAATGCCTCAAGTTTGGATCTTACGCATTAAATGGGGATCTAAACGTTAGATGACGACACTAGACAAGCTAAAAATATAATGTTCCCGTTTGGGAACCATATGCAATAGAGGGTTAATTATCTATGATAAAATAACGTTAAAAAGTCAGTATAATTTTTAGAAGTAGGCTGTGCCTGCAAATATTTTTGAAATTGAAAGCAGAATAAGGTGTCAATTAATTGACAGTTAGTTTTGTTGTCTGTTGAAACCTGAAACGTTTTTTGCAATTGTGAATGCACGAAATTTAGTTTCTTTTACCTGTTTTTTTTTGTAAGTTTTATAAAAATGCCATTTTTATTCTCCAATCAAGAGTTAGCGGATATTCATTTTGTGTATGGCTTTGTAAATGGAAACGCAGCAGAAGCAGCCAGAGAATACGCACGAAGATTTCCAAACAGACGACATCCAACTCGCTCAGTATTTGTAAGAGTGCATCGCCAAATAATTGAAAATGGTTTTGGAAATCTCCAAAGGGATCAAAACATAAATGTTCGTCAGCGCAGATTTACCCGTATGATTCTGCGTGACTTTGATAGAGATCCGACCACAAGTGTTAGGTGAGCTTCTGGTGCCTTGGGAATTTCAGCAAGCCATGTTCACCGTGTTCTTAGAAATGACCATAGACGTCCTTACCATTTGCAACCTGTGCAAGGACTACAGCCAGGGGACGGAGAACGAAAAATCACATTTTGTCAGTGGATTCTTGATATAACTGATAATAATAGGTTTTTAAGTAACGTTTTATGGACCGATGAGTCATGCTTCACTAGACGTGGAGTGGTAAATTTTCATAATCAACATATCTGGTAGCATGAAAATCCGCATGCAGTTCGAGAAAGAAATTTTCAGCATGAATTTAGTGTGAACGTGTGGATTGGTATCTACCGTAATCGACTATTTGGACCCTACCTTTTGCCTGCAAGGTTAAATGCTGCGACCTTCTTGGAATTTTTAAAGGCTGAACATGCAAATATGTGGGATGTTAGATTTAAGAAGATTGGCCTGGTTCCAGCTTGATGGTTGTCCAGCTCATTATTCTAGAATAGTTAGAAACTGGCTGGACGAAAATTATCCAGAAAGATGGATCGGCCGTGGAGGACCAGTCGCCTGGCCTCCACGATCCCCTGACCTAAATCCATTAGATTTCTTTGTGTGGGGATTTCTAAAAGAAAAAGTGTACCAGACTTCCGTAACCACAAGAGATATGCTAATAGATAGAATCAGGAATGCATGTGATGAAATAAGGCCTTATTTGAATAATGCTATACCACGTTCGATCATTCGTAGATGTGAATTGTGTATTGAACAATTGGGTTTACATTTCGAGCAACTACTTTAGATTTTGTGTGTTTGTCCTAACTATCGAATAGCATTTTAGTTGTAAATAATTAATTTAATTTGTTAAAAATAATATTGGAAAATTAAACAAATTAATATTCTGTTTTTTTGCGTTTATTTTGAGTTAGGAATTATTGCTGTGTTTAAAAACACAATCTAAACGATCATCTTAATTACTTGTAATGCCCAAATCGTAAATGTAAAAAAATATTATTTTCCCATGAATAATTAAAAATGCATTGAACCTTAAAAACGAAATATCTCAAAAACGGCTAACTATAACCAAAATTCATAAGAGAGCTTTTTTATGTTGAAAAGTGCGAAGAATCAGTTTTTTTATTCAAAAACCAAGAAATTGCACCAAGAAAAAATTTTCGGTCATTTTAATACACTACAGGTACAGTAGAGAGCGCCCTCTAGCGGCTACAGTAAAACTATGCCCATGGTTCATTTTGTCGTACCAAAAAACCCTTGTATCCCAATTTTCACTGTTATACATCAAATATTTAGTAAATTTATTTCGGAAGCCACGCATTTTTCGACCCATGTTTATATAGACTTTATGCATTAATTTTAAATGTTCTATCGAATCTTAAAGTTATGCAACAATAAACTGAAACACCCTGTATAAACACACATTAAAATTCCAAAGCAATAAATGGGCGGATGACCAAACAAGAACATTGAAAAATGTAACAATACACAATTTATCGAAATAAGACGGTACAAATTCCCCATGTCTGTCTAGCCTTCTTCTTGTTCTAGTCTTCTTTAATGTACTACTCGTCGTAGCTTCTCAAGGCGGTCCGAAGGACCTTAGCCTCTCGGTCATAGTCACTGTAACGTCAGTATCTGTCGTCAGTCTGTCAGGTCCGGTGGGCCAGAAACCAGACAAGTTGTAGGGGAAAGGGGAGAGGGAGAAAGAAAGGAAGGAAGTAGGAGCGAGAAGAGAAAAGAAAAGTTCTTTAATGTATACGTTTCGGCCACAACGTACATATAAGAAGAATTTCAAGTTTCATTGGCCAGGCAAACATGGGGTATTATAGACAAGAAAACCACAGGATAAGTTTCAGCTGTTACATTCAGTGCCCTCCATTACCAGGATCGACCAATGGGGAAGTGAAAACAGCGAGTTGTTCGTTGAATCTGTATCACAGTCTACCGGGTCACCACTGCGGCCGCTAGATGCCATCGATTCTGGTGGTATGCTAGCAATAACCAAATCTCAGACGGCCAATCATGCACAGCTGTTTAGTGCTATTTGACAAGTCATCAGCATGATCTGGCTTGGCCTCAGGTACGAGCGCAAGCTGAGCAATTATCTTCTATCTATGTCATAGGGTCTATCGAAATAAGACAGCACAAAGTGCCATCTATTACCGGAATCGACCACTGCTACAGTGAAAACAGCAAGCTGCCGTTGGTAGCGAGGGTGTGCCAGTTCGCATCTGACAACCGGTTCAACGCTGTTGCCGCTAAATGTCGCTATATGTTATGACTAGCTTGTTCAATGATGAGTAAGTAGACCGTATACTATACCAACAGAATCGAACAACGAAGAGTCTGAGACTATATAGTATTTATCTCGTTATTCAGCAATCCATGGTATTCACTACAAATCAGATTTTTCAGATGTCGCATAACTGGTATCTGTTTCATAGACGTGGGAAGATACTTTTGTCTGCTTTATTTGTAATTTATTCCTATTAAAACTTCACGACTAGTTTTATGAGGCAGTCTGTTAAAAACAATGGTAGTATGACGTGATTTGACGCATTTATAGTATTGTTGCTCCAACACAATCTGTTAATGAATTGTTTAGTGACAATGTATGGATGTTTAAACTTTCAGCATTTAAGTGTGATAAAAAAATACAATTAACATGTTAGAGTCATCGATATTTTGATGATAGATACGTATTCTCACATCATTTCACTTTTCCTATCACCTGCTATAAATTGGCAACGCCCTCTAACATTCTTATGTAACCTTTCAGATGGAAAAGTTGTACTTAAAATTTGTATGGTCTAACATAAACATTTTCATGTAATATTTTTTGTATACCGAGTGTCTCAGAAAAGTGCTATCCAATAAACTTGCGTTTTTTCAAATGGAACACCCTGTATATTTTCAATCGAAATAATAGTCCCTGCTTCTCTGATTCCAACTGTAGATAGTTTCTCAATTTATTTTTATTACTTTAGCCAAAAGCTATTGTACCCTGAAAATACACAGGGTATTCCAAAAAAATGCAATTCTGTGGCACTTTTCTGAGACACCCTAGATACAAATAAATATTGTAAATATTAGACCCTATAACCTTTATATAAAACGTTTTCTTCTAGAAGGTCACATAAAAAGTTAGAGGAGGATTACTTCATAGCCAGATACTTTATGAATAGATCAGAGATTGGTTTCCGAAGCACTTTTGATGTATTGCACAAACTTCAGAGTATAGTGGATCGCTGCGTTTGACCCGCAGTGTAAATATATTTTTGGTTTTATGTATCGCAGTATTAATTCATCACACGACTAGGTTATTTCCGTGATACGTTGTTATTAGAACCTATATGTATTTCACGTATAGGCAGTACAGTACAGATTTTTATGACCGCAAAGAATTCTGAGTGTTTAATTTAAAGCTTATTTTTAGCGGAAACCTGAAATGTCTGATACCTACGCTAGTGAAATATAAATAAATAGCGTTCTATAATCTACAGACAACTACCAAAACCATTTGGCTTATACATACGAAGACTGTGGGTGCAAAAATAACTCGAGTGTAAAATCAAACATTCAGGCTTTGACTGACAAACTGAATTATCGCTTACCAATTTCTGGTGCTATTTCTGAGTTGTGATCTGTCAAGATTCATACATCCGCTATGCGTGCATGTGTATGGAAATCGTTCAAAGTATTTCCTAGTATGATAGTGAATTTTTCAATATATGACGAATATGTACTAAGAGTCTCATGAAAATCGACATATTAGAATTTTTTGGTAGCTATATTTGATCTCAGCGACACAAAATTAATCGTCTCCCGAGTGTCGTTCACGTGCTGAACATAATCATTAATGAACTGATCAGAACGTTCCATGGAAAGTGCGAACCTGACGCCATTCATCATCCAGAACTTATAATGCTGATGAAGTTATTCAACTCTAGAAAATAATATTTTTTACCTGTAATTGTCTAAGAACTTCATCGTGTGCTTTTTGTAGCTCCAACGCCTCAGCCAGGGTGTTGCCTAATTGTGTTAGTTCTGGAGTAATTTCTAGTATCTTCAGATGCAGCCAGTCTCCACACTGGAATAAAAGAAAACAAGCTTAAATGGTATTCGACAATGCTAAGTATACATGCATTTTCATCCTAAGGTAACTCTGGATAAATTGATTTGCCAATTTTTCATTTATGCGTCATTCACCACTTACAAAGGTCGACCAATTTGGTATGAAGGAACGGAAACCTGAAGGGTCCATGTAGCATGCCTAGAATATGATGCCATCAAACAATGGAGTTCAACAGTTCAAAATCTCGACGTGGAGAAGATTGGGATCCCCTGTTATAGGTAATTTACCCTCCTTCCAACTGCATGAAGTATAGACGGTGTAAATGGTTCTCAAGAGGTATGACCGGATGAGTCTCGGCTGGAATTTGTGTAGAGTGAGGAGAGTAAGTTAGTGAATAAGGCATCAGACCGTAATACTTCAATCCCAACTTCAACATAATAACATCGCGTTGAATTATACCTGCATAATAGCTCAGCCTTGCTTATCAGAGTATAAACAGTTTTAATAATGGCGTATTTCTTTAATTATCATTAGTCACGCTACTGCACTGTTAGGTGCAAGAATAAAAAATGCTTTGTAACGGAACATATTTGTATGTAGTTCAACATCAAGAACCAGCTCATACGATTTGCACTGTCCCATAACTATCTGCTCTCAACAATGGTTGCAGATTTAATTTTAGTAGTACTTCAACATTTTAGGAAATCAGAGAAGGATTCTCATTAAAAATTTTCAGAATTTAAAAAATTTTCTAAAACTTTAAAATTAACAAAATAAAAACAAGATTTTCAACATTTAAAGACTAAAAAAGCGCCGCTTTGTTAATCCTAAACATTTCACTGATTTTCAAAACCTCCAGGGCAAAATTTTCGAAATTTTTCCAAAATCTCTACAATTTGAAAATTCTTAGTCTGAAAACCTAGAAACCTCTTGAAATTCGTGACCTGCGCGTTGAATTTGCTACAAGAAGCAGATTTTGGTTGAGGTGCCGATATGCGAGGAATTTTGAAAATTTTCGTTTGATAAACAGTATTTGTTGAGAGCTCGTAACTGCTGTAGCCATATTCTATAACATACTCAATGAAACTATTCGCAAATTTACACCAACATATAAAATTCGAGGAAAATACCCAATATACTTTAAACTTGAAACAATACAAACAGTTAAGAGAAAAAATAAGTATAGACTATACAAACGTTTTAATGATCCATACTCATATCAGATATTCTGTGACCTTAGAGCCAAATCAAAAATCTTAATTAAGGAAAACCTGGATGAATACATAACAATGATGGAAAACAATATATTGAACGACAGCCGATACTTTTGGAAATACGTTTCAAGTAAGAAAAAATGTCATGTCTCTATACCTAGTTCTATAAATCATTCAAACTATGAAGTTAAAACCGGAAGTGGGGTGTGTAATGACTTTGCTGATTTCTTTGCAAGTGTATATGTTAAATCTAAACATTTTTATTTAAACAAGGATGCTAGTCCTATTGATGTTACCTTAATATCCATTGAAAAAATATATCAACAAATAGTGTCCTTAGAAATTAAAAAATCAGTAGGCCCTGACGGCATACCTTCTGTATTTATAAAAAACTGTTCCGCTAGCTTATGTTTACCACTTCACCTAATTTTCAAACTATCATTAACTCAAAGAGTCTTTCCAACGAGATGGAAAGAAGGTGAAATATTGCCTATTCATAAAGGAGGCGATAGACGTGGAAAATTATCGACCTATCACTAAACTTTGTATTTTCTTAAAAATTTTTGAAAAGCTGATTTATGATCCTATCTTAAACATTACAAAAAATATCATTACGGAACACCAGCATGGATTTTTCCCTAAAAGATCTGTAGAGACGAATTTGATGAGTTTTATAGAATATGCCTCTCACGCAATAGATGAGAAACTGCAGGTGGATGTTATTTATACCGACTTCAGTAAGGCTTTCGACAAGATTGATCATTCTATCTTGATGGAGAGACTTGCTGAGGTGGGTGTAGATGGTCCATTATGGCAGTGGCTAGCATCGTATATAAGTAATCGTAAACAAGTGGTGACTATCAATGGGTATCGTTCGGAGACATTCTTAGTAACTTCAGGTGTACCACAAGGTATTCACTTAGGACCATTGTTATTTAACATATACATGAACAACCTTACTTCTGTTTTTCATTTCAGTAAATATTTGTTATATGCTGATGATCTAAAGATATTTACTATTGTTAGAAATGTAAATGACGGTGTAAAACTTCAAAGCGATTTGGAATCTCTGCAAAAGTATTGCACTGAAAACAGTATCTTCCTGAATTTAACAAAATGTCATTACATGAGGCTTACTAGAAACATAGCGAACACTATAGATTTCAGATATAAGATAGGGACGGCAGAACTGGAAAAGCTTCATGTAGTAAAAGACCTAGGGGTATACATTGATGAGAAACTCTCATTCATCACCCACGTATAGCACATCGTAAATGATGCAAATAGAACACTAGGGTTCATAAACAGGACAGGCAGAGAATTTACGAACCCAAAAACGCTTCTTTCATTGTACTACGCTTATATACACAACAAACTGATGTTTGCATCAGTAATATGGAATCCGTCTTACAATGTACATATAGTCAGGATAGAAAGAATTCAACACAAATTTTTGAAGATGTTAGCACATAAAACTCACCAACCTGTTACAGATCATCATTATACGCAAATTATGAAACAGTTCAATATGATTTCCTTAAAAGATAGAAGAACGATTTCTGACATTTGCTGTGTCCATAAATTGTTGAATGGCCTCACTGATTGTCCGGATCTTTTGGCAAACTTGAACTTTAACACTCCTGATAGAACGTTTAGAACCTATAATCTGTTTAGAATACCGTTCCTTAGAACCAATCTTGGTCTTAATTCCCCTTTGGTCAGGGCTCAAAAAAATCATAATAATTTCTGTATTATAGATTTATTTAACATTAGCTTGACCTCCCTGAAAAAGGCTTTAAAGTATGAGTATTACAGCTCTATGGCAGACTAAAATAGAAATGTTTTATTTTTTTACATAACTCAAGTTATCACCTCCAATATCATTTCTGGTATAATTTCAATTTAATTTTGATTTCAGTTTTAATTAAACGTAAGTAAATGTTAAATTATGTATACTCCTTTTATTAAAAAAGTTAAATTAATAGTTTATATTGCTTATAATTAGAACTACTCACTCAGTTTACGTTGTTACAACAATATCGGAGGGTAAAAAAATATTAATATTGAAGTATTCAATAATGTAATATATGTATATGTATACGATATTTTATGTAAGTTTAGTTTTAGTTCACTGAGGGTGTGTGTTGGGTTTACCTGTTAACACCCCAAACTGTAAATAAATAAATAAAAATACCAGTAAAAATATGATTCCAGATTATGGTGGAATATACTTATATACACATATAAATCCTCTGTCAACATGTCGCCACTGCAGTTATTTCGGCCATGTGTTCCATGCATTATTCTTCATATATTTTTGGAATACCAAATTTTATGTCGTGCTTCTGGGAATCAGCACATAAATTCAAATGACGAAGAAATTGCAAATATTCGTGTAAGCTAAAGTGTGTTAGTAGATATCCTAAAATAACCCAAGAAGCAAACAACGACCACCGATGCATGCGCGACTCAAATTTTATTTCGCAGCCACAAGGCCACAGCTATACAGGAGTAATTTGCATCTATTATTATTTGATTATTCGAAGTTTAAGAGTAAGCCACATTTAATATCTTTAAACACAAAGTTCACCAAAGCGTAAAATGTGCTGTGGTGAAATTCTATCTGATAGCAAAAAGTATGTCTGGTGTCTTACGTTAGACTAGACCAGTGGTCGTCAACCCGTGGATCGCGAGCTACCGGTTGCTCGCGAAGGCAATTCTGGTGGCTGACAACATATTTTAAAAAGGTGTAAAAATCATAGAAGCTTCCGTAAATTTTTTTGCAAAGACTCATAATAAACACAAGCAGCGGTGAGCGGTGAGCGATCTGTTCGAGAACGATCTCGATTGAATGACTAAAAACACGAAATTAGAGGCACACCGGCCACCATAAGGAGCCAGAGCCTAGTGCGTTGCTTTTTTAATTTTTAGTTACCTTTATTAACTCGTATGTGACATGCCATTGCAGCTGACGAAAAATTTTTTTTGGTAGGAATGGATGTAGTTATGTAGTATGTATTAGTTATTAGTTTATTTAAGTTTATGAGTATGTATTAGTATTAGTAAAATAAGCACATGTATGTCGCATACAACTGTGTATGTTGCTGATGACATGGTATATTTATTCCAAAATTGTCAAAGTAGCTCAACGCACTGAAAAGGTTGGCGACCACTGGACTAGTCGATATTTTCGAAAATGAGTGAGAAAGAGGGTATTGTAAAAACTGATCTGGGGCGCCATTTTCGAAATGGTGGAAAAAGCGGAAAAGATACAGGACAGCAAAGTGAGTATTCAAAAAAAAGTTAGTTAATTGAAACTTTATCGATGGCTATCATCAGATTTCTCACATATGTGCTAACAACGTTTTGAGTTTCTACAAAATGCCATATCCATTTGTTTGCTATCCGTTTGCCTGTCTTCAAAACTAGATTTATACCGTACTGATGAGTACTAAAGAGGACAAAACAGCGCTGTCTGCAGTTGGTCATGGTTACAGAGAAGGAAAGTACAAGAATTCAGCTTATGCTGGCTTCCGTGAAACATTCCAAACAGCTTCCTTTTTGAGCACCAAATGAATGAACTATGCTTGTCCAAAACAATATTGACCTGACGTCTGCTAATACCCAGCCTAAGTTCTGGACCCATGCAGTAGCTCAGCACTTCACTGTGTCTGGAAGCCCAGAGTAGAGTCACTTTTTTGAAAATAGATTCAAGTGTGGGGAACGGAACATCATCAAGCAGCAAAGGCAACTGTTGTTGAAGAAAATTGAGGTAAGTCTGTCCGTCAAGTCGTCCCGGCA